AATAATACATCTATGTTAAAATCAACTTTTTTAACAATAGTCGAGGAACTACTGTATATTTAATAATGTACTTGGTTGTTTCTAGAATATCAAGATATGATTTAGATATAAAATGTCTATGTAGCAAGTCAATCCATATATGTACAAGTATAAGCGGTAAACTTTATAGGATGTACGTATTTTTCATTCCTTCTAATAATAAAATAGGTGTATAATAACAGTCTACCCCATTAAAAAAAGTTAATACATGTCATATTGTGGCATTTATTTATAACAAACAGTTTTTACGAATTGAAACTCAACATTTGGTTGTCATTTAATTTTTAATTTATTTCGTTCACTAATTACATTTTTCCTTTTAAGATGTTTTTCTTGACTTTAAGTGTGCTTATTTCTATGTTTCACGTGGCCACATGGGATCTCCTTTTCAATTAATAAAAACATAATCGGACGGGTCGAATGAAATCATTAGTTAAGTTTTTCATCGACAACAATTCGTTCTGAAATAGACAAAATTTATGCACACATTTTTATGTATAGGAAAAAATTCTGCATTTCCCCTTTTTAAAAACGTGCTTATCAATCTTAGCAAAAAATAAGCGTGCCTCACTAGTTCTGTTTTCACAGTATTATTTTTGAAGTGAAAACTTATTTAGGTGCTTTTAGCACTTTTTGTGGGTACTGAATTGAACTGAGCCGTCACGCTCGGCTATGTAACGCTCATTCGGGTGAAGTCGGCTCGAGTCGACTAAGCAGAGAGGAACAGTTAGCAGAGCAAGAGAGAAAGATAGTCGAAGCGCCACTGTTATACTCGCTCGGCAGAGTTCGACTCCTATACTCTATCTGAACTAACCCGAATGAACGTTAGGTTAGGTTAGGTTAGGTCCGTGGAAGCAATGCGAAAGCAGTTCCCACGACGTCGTCGATTTCAAACTGAAAAAAGGTGAGGTTAGGCTAGGTTAGGCTAACCTAACCTAACCTAACCATCTTTATGGTCTTATAATTTACTTGGTTATCAGAGCAATGCTTCTGTTTTTATACGTGGAATTCAGTGAAATGTCTATTTTTAAACGGTGTATTCAGATTTTATTTTTGTTTATTTTTAGCAGAGTAATGGTTTATTTTTCCTAGGAAATTATCGATGACGGTGACTACGACAATTACACATATATTTATTGTTTTTATAATATACAGTTATATAGTTATTAATTTGTTAAATATAGTATTCGTATTACCAAACTTGTTTTATTTTTCTTATAATATAAATATATATATATAATATATATATATATTGTTCTCGGATGGTATACAGGTAACATACGAATTGGTTCTAACTATTTTTTTAAATCGTGTCAACATCGCGTCACGTCGCGTCGCCCTAGTGGGACAAGTCCCTTAAGCACACACATTTTTTTTTGGTTAGTCGTTTTAATGTGACCTATAATGTATAAGTATGTGTAATAATAATATAATATAATGTAAAATAGCTAAAATGGTTATTTATTATAATAGTTTGTTAACTAAATATTGATAAAGACAAGGTAATATAGATATAGGATAGGAATAGGTAGTTAATGATAGAATACAATGTTGTAAAATTAAGTCAGCCGTAAAATAACTTAATCTCAAAAACTGTGCTAAAATCGATTATTTGAGGATTTTATTTTATTTTAATTCGTTCATATCTGTTTTTTAAAAATAAAATATTTTGAAATAAAATTGTTTTCAAACATTTCTCGTTTAAAATACATACATTCAAAATGTGGTTATTGAGAAATTCAAAAATGTGATGGACTAAAGTGCGATACCATCGACATTCACTCTTAATACCCACATAACATGTACAGGAGCGTGGCATAATAAATGCGACTTTTTGTATAAGGTAACGAATTTTAGACGATTCAAAATAAACGAAATGAGACTATGAACGCCGAGCGCCATCTGAATACCGACGAACACGGAATGCCGAAATCTATTACAACACTCAGTACAAGCGCATAGCTGGGTCTGAGGGCTCTCAACGACAACAATTTATATTCACCGAGTGACTGCAGCAGCAGCCGTTTCACTTCAATTTAAACGTACATAGCAATAATAATATCGCGTCCTTATAGCTATGCCGAGTATTATAATCGTGGTACACCTTTCGCTACTGGCTAAATTCGCGTTTTTTAAACGAAGTATTTATACAATGCACACATATATATTATCAAAATGAAAAAAAGATGTCTCAAAAGTGACGAAAAACTTCATAGTATGGGAGCTCGATGACCAATGCATTTGCCTGACACGATGCTTTTCAAGTAATAAAATATGTTTTTCAATCACAGTGATTTTGTTTCATTACCTAAACAATATTCACATTTGTCTTGGTTTATTAAGATAAACCTAGATCATTTTTCATTTGTTTAATTAAAAAATAATATGTCAAACACAAAAAAAAAAAATCGCTTTAGAGAATATTTAGGATATTTATTTTGTCTTATTTATACTATAACAATAACCTAAGTGCACATTGTTCTGATTTTAAAATATCACGAGTCTCAAAAGTATCTTAATATACTATTTATATTCATACTACCTATTTTATTATTATTAGATATTAATTTCAATGTTAATTTTCGAGCGATTACATTGTTTTGGTGGTCTTCGTGTCTTTAAAACGTCAATTATGATTTTTATGATACGATGGTTAATGTATATTTGTATGTTTTGTGTTGGCATTTTATTTTAACTTAAAATATTTTATGAAGATGACTTAAAGTATATTTATATTTTTCAGAGAAAGTACTCTCAGAGACGTTAAAAATATTTCATCGAAGAATTTTTGTGTTTATAATATTAACGAGTCTCCTATATTTTGCTGACCCGGATATATAGTTGTAAGTGTCCCTATATCATAGAGACTTTGACGTATATGCTGCATTCAGTTGTGACGGTCTTAAATATGAATATCTCAAAATAAACACTTAAGCTCAATCGAAATAAATTTTAAATTATTTTAAATAAGTCATAATATTACGAGTAATGTTCTTTTTAAACTTTTTGATCCAAAGATGATTGCTTTAAAATGCAAACTTTCGATGAGATTATTTTTACTCTCGGCTTGGTTTCTCAGTTGAATATTATAAAAACAAATATTTTGTAAACTTTCTATGTAAAGTTTACTCTCTTAAAAATGTACATTATATAATATACTTTAGTGAAACCTGGATTCACTGAATCAGATATTCGAAACAGTTTTTATTTTTGAAGTACACTGTTTTTTGATTTTAACTCTTTTAAAACTATTTTAATGTTAGTGCTAGTATTTACAATATTGTGTATACATATATTTAAATGAAGTGAAAATAAAAACGATAAGGATAACAATATTTTTGGTCTTGCATATTTCATCGAATTCCAAAATGGATGTTTGATTCGCAAAAAATATTCCAAGAAGACAATTTAAAAAAATAAGATCATAAAATAACAAGTACCATAAGCATGTTCAAAAAATATTGAACATTTTAAATAGAGGCAAATGTGAAAAACAAAACAAGTGAATTATATTTCTGATAGTAGCGGTAGGTACAGTACTCACTACTCAGTGGTGCACTCGTTAACAATTCTTCTGGGAATTATAGGACATTTATGTTAAGCCAACTTAAAATAATTATATATTACATCTTTTTACATAAAAATAATGTTCATTCATTAGACTTTATAGACTTGAAAACTACTTAACAATAATTCTCAATAAAAGTTATATTTCAAGAGATTCGTGGAGAATGTGAACCTTTTTTTTCAATGAAGGTCGTTATAGGGAGGCTCACACTTTCATTTTATTTCAACTCATGAAAATCAAATATTTTTATTTATACATGGAGTTACCATTGGTTTCAGATAACAAAATAGATATTATTATTGGATTTAATGTTTTGTATTTTATTATATTTTATCATTCAGGCAGATAAAGCTATTCGATATAACTATAGAATTGAATAACAGCTTTTATATGTAAAGTGTGTGTTTGTGTATAGTTTAGTATATACCTACTAAAAAATCATCGACAGATTTTGACAATTCAACTAAGGTTTATATAATATATTGAAACAGTTATTTTAGGGTGGCTTACCTTATTTTACTATTCATAACTGTATATTAGTTTATATCATCTGCTTGAATTTGATTACACGTATAACAAAAAAGTTGATAATTTGTTATTACAATCGAGCAAAGGTGGGGATGACCTATTTCGGTTTTAGTTATCCTCGGCGATGACGGATATTAAACTACTTTGAATATAAATATTATATGATATTTATTTATATCACAATTTCTTTTTAAAATAAATACCGTAAAAAAAATAATATGAATGAAATCGGTTTGGTTACCTCCGAACGACCACATTGAGCCTTGACGTGTTAGTATAACATAATATATGACATACAACTCAAAACGTAATACCATATATTTATTTAAATTGTTGAACAAGAAAATATATTACCATTACGTTCCACGTCACAGTTATATTGTAAATGTAATCATTACGTGGGTGCGATTATAACCGAAGGTAAGTTTAGTGGCGGTGGAAAAATATCTCACACAACCACTCCACCATTTTGCTCTATCCCACTCACCCAACTGCAGCATGTCATTTTGATTTTATATCAACCGATTTTCGTATCCCGTCGAGTGGAATATCTTTAAAATGTAAGTTTTGCGACGAGTTTTAATCGAAAATTAAACCACCTCTGGGTATATTGTCTTCGTAAAGCGAAATCCGACGACAAACAACGGTAGCGGTATAGTTTTAGTTGTAGTGGTAGTAAATCATTATGCACATAGCGATGAGAAGGAGTGGTGGTCGATAAATAAAAAAAGTAAGTAGTTCAAAGTTTAATGGGACGCGACGGGCCAAGAGAGGAAACCACAAATTCACGACGTATAATAATATATACATAATAATAAACACGTACATAATATTATACAATATACATATAACTTGGGAAACTTACTTTTGAGTACATGAGGCTCAGTGGCAAGCTCATCGCTATCGACAGCAACCACACGAACACGATCTTCAATATCACCCTTCGTCGCGTCTTGTTTCGGCCAAATTTCATGGGATACCTCAAGCTCAAGTACCGGTCCACGCTGATCGTGCACAAGTGCATTATGCTGGCAGTGCAGAACAACACGTCCAGACATATCCATGTCAGACAGTACACTGAAGCGAACGGGAACTTTCCTGGAAAAAGGGGGAAACCCAATTTATATTATAATCAACAACGAATCGCCATACAGTATTATACATAGGGATATATAATATGAAATAATATAATATAAATTCGGTTGCAATACAAAATGTATTTTTTTATTCAAATTTAAGAGGTACTTATAAAATTGAACTAAAATAGTACAATATTCTTTTATTTATACTATCGGCCACTTTTATTTGGGATTTCACATCGAAAAAAGAAAAAATATTCGACCATTTTGGTGTCCAAGACAAAGTACATTCAACTACATTAATTCATAATAATGGGGTTATGGATGTATTTTTAGAGTAGATATCGTTAATCAACACAAAAAATTGCTGAGTATCCAATATTATTTTGCCACACAACTACCCTTACCTAATAATAGACATACCAATATTGTATCACTATTCAATAAATAAAGTCCATTCAAAAAAATATTCTGGTATGCTATGATAATTAAGAATTTACATACTTTTTTTAATAGAAGATTTACAAATTTACCTAAGACCGTTATTATATACCTATGTTAAAATAAATACTTAGTATATAGCTAAACACATTTGAACTGATTGAGAAAATGAGTATCATATTCAAAAACCCAAACATCATTTCCGTATTCAAGGAAATGTGTATTATATTAAAATTTCACATAATTTAAACAGTTTAATATTCTATAGAAACGTATTATTTATAAATGTTTAAGGAGTGTCAATTAGCGATATAATGGTTTTTTGATTTTGTAAAAGATGGTGTACTACTTGAGGTAGTAATTGTATTCAAACATTCAAATATGTTTTACTTTTGTCAAAATTCTACGTTTTGTACTAGATAATTATTCATTAACCTGTGAATAAATATTTACAGTCACAGTGTTAAAAACATCTTCAATTTCAATTAAAGATTTAATACTAAATCGGAAATTATACGTATCATTATATTGAACTATTAGAAGGATGCGGTGTTTTGTTTTTCCCAGTCGAAAAACGATGAATACACTACTCTATTATACTACCTATGTACATTGTATATTCTACTGCAATATTCTTTAAGTGACAGTGAGTGGGACGTGTTCACAAACCGTCTATAATATTATAATTAATTGCTACCCATACCGTGTTACGCGACTAATGTTGTTATAAAATATACACATTTTCATCTACAACGCGTTCACAAAACAAAATAATATGGAACGTTATTACAATACATTTTGCCAATACAGCGTGTTTAAGTTTTCTTGGAAAATTGATTATTTACAATTTATTATTTTAACATATTTATGGTTGGCTTATAAATTTCTTTTTTTAAAAGCTTAAAAAACTTTAAGCATCATATTGTTTACTTGAAAATTAGTAATTTCAATAATGCGAATTTATTAAATTGAGCTTAACATATACCTATAATGTCTAATTAACAACAATTTCAAAACTTAATGGAGAATGAAATTTAATCTTTAGAACTCACTGAGCTATGAGCTCTTTGATAGATTTATGAAAAAACAACAGTAAGATATAAAATATAATACAATTAATGTGTAACTTAATACATTTTATTTTAAAATAATTCCACTATATTGCAGAACTACTACAATTCTTTAAAATATTATAAATAATACTTTAAAACTACTAACTAGATAAAAATGTTTGATGAATATCATATATATTTTAAACCTATTTATAGTATTATGAATGATAATACAATATTTACTATGATCAAATTGAAGGCTAACTTATATAGGTTATGCGTCGATGAAAACTGATACACCAATCAAATTGAGTGTTTATAAAAGCATATTAAGACCCATACAATATCTTTGTGTGTATATTATGTTTGATAAGCAGTATCCAGTTTCATGCAATTTTGAATTTTCTTATATGGTTATGTGTGTTGGTAGATAATGGGTATTTCAATGATTTATTTATGCGACTCCTATAGTCCTATTTAATAAATCAGTTTTATGACAAAAAAAAAAAAAATGACTTTTACTGTATCCTAATCATATTGAAATGTAAATTATGATTTTGATTTTTGGATAATATTTAACTGAAGACTAAAAATTGAGTAAGTGTACAGAAAAAATATTATTTTCGTGCTCTTGTTTCGTTGTACATTGTTTTTTTCTGAGGACTTTTGAAGATATATCAAGTGGCCATGTTTGTGTGCAATACTATTAATAATAATCATCACTTATTTGACTACAAATATATTTAACAATCAGTAAATTTAATTTTTACAATATAGGAAAGTGATGTGTATTTTAATAGGGAGTTATTTAGGCTTGGGTGAAAAATCCATTCATTGATGGAATTTCATGACATGTGTCTGTATTTATTTATACAGCTGGTCGTTGCACTAAACATTGTTATCACTTATGAGTTGGAAGATTCCAATGTTTTACAATCCGTATTGGAGTATTACTCTCTAAATAGCCATCAAGAGGGTATTGTAATTTCGATTCAATTTTTAAAATGGTAGTAATATGGTTAAAATGGTATTTATTGGTGTAGTTTAAAATGTAGAAATAACTACTGACCTTATTTACCTGAATATAGGTAATTAATTACTACATGCGCCATAAGATATTATATTGTATTTACTCTTAAAATGTACCTACAATAGGCAATTTTTTCAAATACTCAAAGAATTTCGATTAACTGGAAAAAAAACACATTGTGATTTAAATAATATTATGGAAAAATATATTACATTACATGCTTGATATTATGATATAAATATGATAACAAACTGTAGAACGATAATATTGTTGTATGACGTGTGAGCCCGTATTGTACTTTTATAACAACTTGCGTTATTATATTTTTATTAAATCGTATAACGGTCCATAGAATAGATTTCCTTGCTTTATGGCATTCAACACAATACACATATTATAGTATTACTAGGTATGTGTAGTCTACTAGATTTCAAATAATGTAACTTCAATTAATATATCCCTGCAAGCAAATTACACAATAAAAAATGTTTTCAAAAAAAAATTCTCACAGAATTTATTAATAATAATATGCATTAAACGAGTACGTCTCCGTTGTATAGTGGCTATATCCTATATGGCGTTAGTTCCCGTACCGTAGGTCTTTTTACAATTTTGCAGTTATTACGGATTTACGATCTACAATACATAATAACACAATGCTTTAATTTCTTATTGTTTGTTGTAATAATAATACGTTTTCCTATCCCGGAATACACTCCGCACCCTCCAGTAAACGCATACCTTATAAATCACAAAACGTTTCGGGCATGAACTCGGCCCAGCGTAATAATAATATTGAATAATTTCGTTTGTAAATGTTATTATATTATAATATTATAATACAACGAACGAGGAACTGACATTTTTTTTTCAAGGAGCACTGCATAGGCAATTTGTCTTGTTAGACGAAGAATATATTATTATGCAAATGACTGTAGGATCATGTAAGCCGTTTATCATGATGTTCAAAAATATTTCTACACATTTAGGTAAATATATGTTATTTTTTTTTCCTTTTACGACAGTGAAATTAAAATTCTTTTTAATCCTGTATAATATAATATGTGTATAACGATAAAAAATACGTTATTCGGCTTCTATATACTCAGCAAGCACATGGCTGAAAATATTTTCTCAATTACGTATTCTTACCAATTTTTAAATACAATATTATTATTATTAAGTGTTAGGCAGTCAAATGAAAAATATCACTGTTCTAATTAAATAGATTGACAGTTTTAAACAATACCATGCTGTCGGACCACGGCAGTATTTTGGCAATTATTTGAATCTAGGGGAATAATATTCTTGATGGTATTTAAGTTCATTTGTTGCTGTATGTTTTGTGATTCATGCATAACTGGAATGTGTTGGAGACATGTCTAAGACCTGAGTTTTAAAAAAAATGTATCATCAACAAATAGCATAAAGAATCTCGGTTTACTTAAATCTGGAGGAGATAATATCATCAAGGACTTGCATTCTTACTACATTGTTGAATATTTTAGGCCATTTATTAATGTTATTCACAATAACAAGTTTACTAGAATATAAGTAAACAACCCAAAAAATAACTAGATACGGAACATTTTCAATACAATATTCAATTACAGATTTGCTATTAAAATTTCAGTTTTTTGAAACTTCTCATCTTCAAAAAAAACCGATTTCCGTGAAAGTGAAAAACTCTGATGTCAAAACTTGCTTTTCCTCTGTAGTTAAAAAGTTAGAACATATACATAGAGAGTGTAATGGATAGACTGACCTCGACGAATGCCAGTTGTTATACATTTGAAAGGAATGATAAATCATCGGATTTTGAAAAATGAATCTTGGAGCGGAATTCGGTGGCATATAAATCGAAAAACGTGGTTTCAAACCATGCCGGGGTAATGAAATGTGTTTTAGAGTACGTAGGCGTACATAAGTAACTGAAAAAATGACATTTCACGTTTTTATAAAATAATATGCGAATGTCTCAACATTTTTTTCTATGAGCATGTATTATTAAATTATGAATCCGTTCGACTATACTACTAAGTCTTCACAAATGAATAAAATATTATCAATACTTATCCGCTGTCACAGTGAAATTAAAACGTAAGGCTGTGACAATGACCAGTGAATAATTCGTATAATATGATATCTATAATAACATTAGAATGACATAATATATTTTTTTATTATTATTTATTACTTATTTATCAGTTTATCATATAAAATATTTTCTAGGCATGACTTGACCGATTGCCAACTGGTCATAACATTATATTGTACAACGCGTGGCAAAAATTAAATATGAAAATTAATATTAGGTTCTCGGTGCCTTGATGAACAGTTCATTTCTGGACAGGATGATTGTCAGAAATTCATAAAATGTGGTGCAAAAAGGGTTAAGCAATTATCTGAGAAATTCCAGGGACAGCTTAAAGTGCGACACTACAGCTCTTGTCAAATGTCCGATCTATAAAATATGAATGGGTCACGTGAAACTTT